TACTTCTTTCCCAACTGGTTAATGAAAACAAGGATATAATCAAAGGAACATTTAGAGTTGGGATAACCTCCAAAACCAAAGGCGATACCTTTATAAAAGCTCATTATTGTCAAATGTTTCTAAAATTGCCGGAAACAGCAGTTTTAGGATAGTTTGTGGCTTAGGAGTCCTCTTCACTGCTCCTAACCTTTCACAGATTTAGGAGCTATTTCCTACTGACACACTACAGCAAAAGATAGAAATAACTGACTTAAAACCATTTTTAGCTGGTTTTTAAAATAATAATCATGGCTGATAGTAAGACATGCAAACGTAAAAGAAAACCAAACTGGACTCAAGAACAGCTGTTACTTCTTCCCTAACTGTTTAATGAAAACAAGGATATAATCAAAGGAACATTTAGAGTTGGTATAACCTCCAAAACCAAAGGCGATACCTTTATAAAAGCTCATTATTGTCAAATGTTTCTAAAATTGCCGGAAACAGCAGTTTTAGGATAGTTTGTGGCTTAGGAGTCCTCTTCACTGCTCCTAACCTTTCACAGATTTAGGAGCTAGTTTTAGAGCTAAAACACTTTGTGAAATACTCTTAGAGCAAAAATGTAGGACTGACACGCCCATTATTTTTAAGATTTTCTCCTAAATCGGCGAGTTATGAGCTACTTTTAGCCTTAAGATATTTTGTAAATATGGGCCCTGATATCTCAAGGTCACAAGTTGAGTGAGATTACCATTAAATCAATGATTGAGATTATATATGCAAAATTCAGTGTGATTACGTTAAGGATCCGCATGTGAACTTTTAAAGATTTTGGATTTTTGCTTTAAGATGTGACCTTGGAACTTGTGTTAAATATCTAAGTGTACTTTTTCATATTGTGTGCATCAAGATAAACTTCAAAAGCTAACAAAATATGTCAAAATCATGTTGACATACTGAATAAAAGCATAAGTTTAACAAATGTAACATTGTGATGGAATGGAGCTCAAAGGTTTGAATTTTTGTCACCATTTTACACATTTTGTGTTTTAAACATAAAAACAATCATCGTATCCACATTTAGCAGTTTTTTTAAATGATAATCAAAGCTGATAATAATAATAATAATAAAATGAAAGGCTAAAAGTTGATATGATTCTTTAGGGTCTTAATGAAAAGTCTGTAACATAGTTTGATTAAAATTTCTCAGTGGTAGTGTAAAAACACCTTTTTTACCCTGTCAAAAACAGCTCTTTTCAAAGCAAGCCGTTTTGTAGCATTTTCCTTTAAATGTTAATGAGCGCTGCTGACTCCGCCCCTCTCTTCCGAGCTGCTCTCAGAGGGACTGTTTACTTTAGCCGCATTCATTGTGAAACTTGCTAATTAGCACATTGTTAGGAAAGGTGATTTGCAAAGATTCATTAAAAAAACATTACACTCACTTCTTCTGTAGGTGAAACTAGATCACGAATGATTCGCGCGAACACAGACGCATTTATGTAGATCGGGGACGCATTCCCTTCAGAAACAATGTAATCCACTGCGTCTTCAGCGGCTCAGATGTCGGGAGTAAATGACGACTGCTGTTCATTATTACATCCAACAACAAAACACCTCAATCACTTAGGAGTCATTCTTGTCTACATCTGCTCCGGCGGTGAAACAATGGCGGACTGATGACAGTCACTCAGGGCGGAGCTAAGGTAAAACACTAGTGTCAATCAACAGTGGGAGGGGCCTGGGTCAGTGTGACATCACAGAGCCAAGAATCTGAGAATGGCTTGATTTAAGAAAGGGGTCATGATTTATCGATATTTAAAAAAAAAAAAAAAAACACTGGGTGGATTTTTATCATGATAGGGTGGTTGTGTACACACACTGCCAACACACATTTCAGTTCAAACAACTTGTAAAAGTGCATGCAGCATCCGATGACCCCTTTAATCTAGATTTAAGGTTAAATGAACACTTGAGAGGCCAAATGAGTACAAACTATTTCAAAACCCTTGTACACATGACATTTGTTTCCCAGCTGAATGATTTAAACCGCTGATTTGACTGTGAATTCTGTCCATCGATTTGCTCATGAGGAAGGAAGATTAGCTGGTGTAAACACACTCGCCTGTATCACCTGTGTGCCATTTAACAAATGAATTAATCAGAAACACTGCTCACTTTGGTGAACTCGTGAATGAACAGCAAATGGCGCTGTTGCTCAGAAAAACACACACATGGTCATGTGACTTCAGATAAAGCACATCAGGGGCCTGTTCCATAAAACAAGTTTACAAAATAAGCCAGGTTTATTTCAGTACTCACACTAGGCACGCTCGCCTTGAACCGAGCCCAAGCACGAAAATCTAAATAACACTTAAAACAAAATATAGTAGAAAATCTAAATAAAACTTGAAATTCTACAATATATTTATCTATAATTAATAATCTAAGTGTAACACCAACAATTATTTATGCATACAATTAAAAAATATATATTATATAAGCAGTATTTTTTTTTACTGAAACAGCATAAATTTAGAGTCAACATGCATGCAATTATAAGTTATTTATTTGAGGATTATAAATACAAGAATGCTATAAATTTTACACACTCACGTGTGTGTGTTTATATATGTATATATATGAGAAACATACTTAAATTGTTTAATTAATTAATTCTATATTTTTTATAATAAATAATATTCTTAAAATATATAATATATTTTTAAATATAAATAATACTTGTAATATAACAATATATAATATAAACAATATATAATATATATTTTTAAATACACAATTAAGTTAAACTGTTATTATTATTTGTAGCAATGCTTTTACTGAAGCAGCATACATATATGTGTGTGTGTGTGTGTGTGAGTGTGTGTGTGTGTGTGCATACAATGAAGTTAGCAAATTATTATTGTATTTGTTACTATTAGTATTATTACTAACTACACGAGCGTTCTGCGCTCTGATGTTTCTGGCTGTGTTTGTGGAGTTGGTCCTCCGGTATCCCATAATGCGTCAGTGTCTGCGCTGGTAAATCGCGCATGCGCAGTAGATCAGTCTCTTTTGGCTCCGCACCTCTTCTGCTAGAATGGTGAGTGTTTGGTCTGAGCGCGGAATCTTCAAACATCTTCTCCATCTCGCTCAAATAGCGCACTTCTCTCGTCTCTCTATCCTCTCGATGTTAAATAACACACCATCGGTGCTGTATGTGTCCACACAGGCGAGCAGAACGGCTTTATTATGATCGCTTGTGTTGCTGTCAGTGAAGCCGATGAAAACG